CTAAACAACACAAATGAATGAATCATGAAAGTTAAGATTTAATATCAAATCTACGTAGCACTATATGTGTAAATTCTTTCCATATTGATATATTCCATTTTAATGAAAGTATTTAGAGTCACGAAGAAGAATCTACTCTAACTCATTCTAATCAATTAAAATGAATTAAAAAGCGAATTCAACGTTATAAATCTAAATAAGCTTGTTCTACCGTTTCTAATTTATCACTTATTTCAATTTCGTATACATTACAATCTGATTCATGACAACTATCGAATATATATATAGACAACGAGGTAGTATTTAATTATATTCAACTTATCAGATAAGGCTTCGTATACCATGTATTCATCAAGTAATTTTCTTCTTGAGAGTATGGATGTGTTTGTGGACAATATTCTTTACTCAACATCCCATATCCATACTCCAGTTTTTCATCATCAGAACAGCGTCTAAGTTGTTGGTTCATTTCCGATTGATAATCACGCTGAGTGGAACAAAACCTGGTCATTTATCGTCAGAGAATACTTGACTTGATCTCTCTCTTTCCAGAAAGGACTACGGAATCATGCCCATCATGATGAACTAGACTATTTCATGATTGCAACTTAGCAGACGATGACTCTTTTCTTCGACATTGGCATACTGAGTGACATATCTTTTCAGTGTCTACAATGATAAGTTTTCCATCATCTGAGCTCAGTAAATATCGCTTTTATTTTTGACTACCAGACTCGATGCTCACCACAGACACATCAAGAGTAAAGTTAGTTCGATTGATTCTTTCTAATTAGTCATAAAAGTGTATAGAGAGCCATTTTTAATAATGTATTTATATAAGCAGACTCATATTGTTACAATCACTCATCTAAAGTCTCATAGTTCAACGTTTTTCTTAATATTATTATTCAACTCAGAAGTTTTATATGTCCAAACAGTTTCATTTAAATGTCGAATTCCTAAGTTCTTCAGTTTCATATACATTGGTATTTTAAAATCTAAAGATGAAACTATTGCTTGTGTTTGTTGATCTTCACTACCAGCTGTCCAATAAGGTATATGATGCAAATAATAACCAAAGATGGATTCACAAAAACTAAAATACATTGGTGTATTTAATATATGTGCATGCCATGCTTTGTCAACCATTTCCGATGGTTCACCAATTAGGCCATTTTTTACACCAGTATAATAGTTTTCTAATTCAATAATTGTATTTAATGCATCAGTATCACTCATACATTCTGCAGTTTGTAATCGTTCATATAAATACAGAGCATCTTTGTCTGGTATCGTGATAGTCTTACAACATTGTATCGAAGGAGGCAATAAAACCAACAGAAAACATATTCCTACGACGAAAGTAAGAAGAGAAGATAATATATGAAAATACAAAATATTCTGACTGCCATTGTAGGATTAGAAAGCAATGCTCTCATATAAGATTGAAACACTCTATTCATGTTCATTTTTGAGAATAGTGAAATAAATGTTTTCTTCGGAAATAAACAATGCCCAACAGTGCATCTGATAATGTACTAAATGAAAGAAGGCTCTAGTTTTAATGAGTATACCTTGTAAAACATGTCCATCTTTCTTTTTCTATGCTCAAATTGAAAACTTTTAAATTTATACATCTTCACAGTTTATACAGATTTCAGTTCTCTATGAGTTAGTTGTTCGACAATTGTAGAAATAATGAAAATGATTCAAGGAACATAAAACTTTTCAATCATTTGTTGACTACCTATCATTTGAGCACTGTGTGTAGCTAGTCTTTTTAATGAAATGAGAATTTCATACCTACGAAACTTAGTTTCATATGAACTAAACGAAGCAGATTTGAACAGAATACAAACATCTAAAATACAAAAAAGTTTTTTATTGATTTATTCAACTCAGAAAATATCACATACATTCTATATTTAGGACGTTTGAAAGTTCGATAAGTCGAAGGAGAACAAAATAAATATACAATCAGAACAATTTTTTCTCATACGAAACTAATCAGCATCGAATAGTCTCTCTTCCGTTGTAAGCAATAAAATTTATATATAGTCATATATTTGAATTTAATGAATGCAAATATAACAGACGCAATACTGCGGATATTTAAGTATTGCGAAGTACAAATGATCAACTAATCAAAATAGAAAGAGAAAGGAAGAGAAGAAAGCTTATCAAATTCGCAAGAAAGTTGAATATTTATGACTCTATTTCCATATATTCAATATTGAATCATGATTTTTTTTCTACGCAATTCATTTATATAAATTAGAGCTTATATATATTCCAGAAAAAATAAACATTCTTAAAACATAACTTCACTCTTTTCTTTCAGCACTACAAATTCCAATGACTACAATTGTCCGATACTTAGTATTAATATTACTTATTTCAGCAGTGATAATTGCTGATGTCGCCGGAGAAACTCGTCATCAAGCATTGAAACGTATGATCCATAGTGTCAAGGGTGCAAAACATAACGTTGCAAAACGGGATATATATCAATGTGTATATCATCCACCTCCGCCACCACCACCTCCTCCACCTATTTGGGTGTGAATGCTGACTTTCAAAGACATGCAATAAATATTCAGCGTTAAAGAAAAATACAATTATAATAAAACTGACATTTTAACTTTCTGTTAACCTTTTACTTTTTAAATATCAAATGTATTATTTAATCGAAAAATCAGCTTTGAAAATGTTGAAAATACTAAAAAATACCTTCTCTATTATTAGCATCTCTATTTTTCGCGTACCAATAAAAATTCTTTATTCCTAGATAAATATCCCACATAAATTTGAGCCAGAGGGAAAATGCAACTGTAGACGGATATAGGTTTTTTAAAAACTGTGTAGAAAAGCACGAATTTTTACGAGATATAGATCGTTTTCATGTTTACTATATTACTTCTCACTCTCCCACCAATAATAGTTTCTTTAGCATTCAGCACGCGAATTCTATTCGAAAAATTTTTACTCTTTGATTTTATTCTATATAATACCATCAGCGACAGAACACCAGGTAACTTCGTGCTCCTCTGCTTTTGATACTATCACACATGCTGATTTCTACAACATTAACAAAAAAAAAATTCGATTTGTCAAGTCACATATCTGAGAACGCTGTTATCACTATTCTCTTGTGTGAAATATCTATTACCGATTTTGAACTAAAATTGTTCACACAAAAATTTACTAGATATTTATTACCGTTGGGATAAAAAGAAGTTTTGTACTATGTCTCTTTGGTGTGGAATGTAGAATGAGGGCAATCGCACGCAGTTGCTACTTCGAATGTGCTGCTGACTGTAGATGGTTAGCGGTGTATAAATCTAGATAGCTATCATTAATAGTGAATGACCATTACCAGGAAATCTAATGGTCATTTTGTAATCCTTGTGCGTACGCTTGTGGGATAACGGTATAGACATTCTCGATACTTCATATCCAGCCATTCATCTACACAAACCCTCAAATCTCTTCAGGGAAAACAATTCATAGAAACAAAGGTGAGTACAAAGAAATATCACACCACTTAACATAGCAAGCCGTACTCTCACCCACATCAACAGTTGCATCTCTCAACTTTGAATACAGTCTCATCCATGTATACCTGCATTAACTCTCAGACACTTTTTAATCACAGACCCGCAAGTGATCACCGATCGATTCTAGTAATGCAAGTACTCAGCCATCAACAGACAAATAAGATAGTTTTCTTTTGGTATGTATTTGCCTGATAAACTCATCTAGAAATGAAGAATCTATATTGATACATCAAAGATAGAGATGCTAATAAAAGAAAAAAAACAGCATTTTTATTTATTCTGGACTTTCAAAGCTGGTTTTTTTTGATAAAATAATACATTTGATGTTTAAAAAGCAGCGAAGACCAAAACAAAGCGAAAAAGTCAATAGCATGTACGATTATATTTCTTCAACGCTGAAGATATATTGTCTCTTTTTAAAAATCATTCCTTCACACCCAAATAGGTTCAGGGGCAGGTTTTGGAGGGGGATAATACACACATTTATATATATCCCGTTTTGCAACGTTATGTTTTGCATCTTTGACACTATAAATCATACGTTTCAATACTTCATGACGAGTTTCTCCGACGACATCAGTAATAATCACTGATGAAATCAGTAATATTAATACTAAATATTGCATAATTGTAGCCATTGAGATTTGTTTTGCTGTAAGAAAAAAATTGGAATTATATTTTGAAAATGTGAATTACTCTGGAATATATATAAGCTCTAATTCACATAAATGATTTGCGTAGAAAAAAAATCATGATTCAATATTGGATATATGTGAAGAGAGTCATAAATGTTTAGCTTTCTCTCAAAGTCGATAAGTGTTCTTGTCTTTTTTTCTCCTTATATTCTGATTAGTTGATCATTTGTACTTCGCAATACTTAAATATTCACAGTATTGCTTCTGTTATATTTGCATTCATTAAATTCACATATATGACTATATGTAAATTTGATTGTATAAAACGAAAGAAAGAATAATTTTATACTGATTAATTTTGTGTGAGAAAAAATTTTCTTGATTGTATATTTATTTTGTTCTTCTCCAACTGATCGAACTTTCTAAATATAACTAGTATGTGATATTTTCTGAGTTGAATAAATCAATAAAAACAACTTCTTTTGTTTTTTGTATTTTAGATGTTTATGTTTTTTTCAAATAGACTTCGTTTAGTCTGTATGAAATTCTCATTTCATTAAAAAGACTAGCTACATACATGCTTCAAATGATAGGTAGTTAACAAATGATTGAAAATTTTTATGTTTCTTGAATCATTTTCATTATTTCTACGATTGTCGAACAACTAACTCATAGATATCTGAAATCTGTGTAAACTATGAAGATGTATAAATTTAAAAGTTTTCAATTTGAGCATAGAAAAAGAAAGATGGTCACGTTTTACAAGGTATACTCATTAAAACTAGAGCCTTCTTTCATTTAGTACATTATCAGATGCACTGTTGGGCATTGTTTATTTCCGAAGAAAACATTTATTTCACTATTCTCAAAAATGAACATGAACAGAGCGTTTCAATCTTATATGAGAGTATTATTTTCTCGTCTGATTTTCGTCGTAGAAATACGGTATACGAACGATTACAAACTATAGAGTCTATGAGTGAGAGTCATGTATTAAATAGAGTGTAGCCCAAAAGTAAGGTAAAACATAATTGTTTGATTTCTTCTTTGGTATCGGCAGTTGGATCTCATGCTTATACCACATATACTGTGTTATACTTGCCAGAAGAGTAATGTACGATTAGTTTTTGAGTGCTGTAATTCATTATTATCTTAAAAATAAACCAGTTCTATTCAATTTTTAGTTTTTTCTGTTTACTACCAGTTGTTATATGAAACCAGTTTAATTAAAGTTTGTATTCAGTTTAATAAACAGAAGCTAACAGCCATTAAATCACATTCGTTTAACAATTGTCAATAAACATACAAAACTGAAAATTGAATGGAATTCGAATAATATTGAATTTATTTTATAATCTCATACAATTAGTCTGATTTATTTGTAAGATTTTAAATAATTTACTGTATCCGAAGATCGATCCTATGCGCTACCTTTGACTACTATCAAGCTGTAAATGAGGTGTAAAAATGAAATCCAACATACATATTCAAAGAAGAAATCAAACAATTATGTATTATCTTACTTTTGGGCTAATCTGTACAATGATATCAAATCAATTGCTAATAAGATAATTTCATATTATGTTTTAAAGAATATAAACTTTTTCAATCTGAGAGACAAAGTATCATGCAAGTAGCAACTGGTTTTCTTTTCAATTGTATGTTTTTAATTTTCGGAGTTTCATCAACAAATTATAATCAAGTAAAACTTCCGAAAAATGATTTCCAATATATTATTAATAATTTACAAATTAAATATAAAATGAATTATGAAGATGCGAAAAGGTGTGTTACAGAATTAGAACATTTTTATACTGGTATTAAATATAAAATTATTGATAATATGTTAGATCATCCATCAACAGCAATTAAAAATGCATGGGAATCACATATTATTTATACATCAATGTATTTTAATTTTACTCATTCAACATTTGGTACATATGTTCATTATCAACCGATAGAACACGATAAAGGACAATTAAATATATACAACAAACTCAAAACATTTGGAATAAATAATATGAATGAAACAATTTGGCTATTGAAAACCTTACAACAACAAGAACATTATTCATCACTGGCAACGTGGAATACTTATTACATGGAATCAAGCACTTCTTTATCAAATTTTAATCAAAAGGAAAATAGATTTCTGAAAAATTTTATAGACGAATATAAACCATCATTTCATGACTTTCAAATATTAGATATTGCTATGGGACAAGGACGAAATTCAATTTGGCTTGCACAAAAAGGTTACAATGTAACAGGATTTGATTCATCTATTGAAGGTGTACAAATAGCTAAAAAACAGGCAAAACATTTCAATCTAACTACATTACAAGCGTATGTAACAACAATCGAAGAGTTTCATTTTGACGTTGAACAATGGGATTTAATTATATGTATGTATTTTCCAATAATAAATCAAACTAATTACTTAAGAAGAATAGAGCAATCATTAAAATATAAAGGTTTATTAATAGTTGAAGTTTTTCATTGGGATAGTTTAAATGGTGACTATATAATTCCACTCGATATTACCTATAGAACAAATTCTATACCATTATTATTTCCAAATTTAACAACTCTTATATACGAAGAACCAACTGATTATAGTGACTTTGGAAATAAGCTAACAAAAATTATTCGATATGTTGGACAAAAGCAGTATTCACATACTTGATCATAAACAAAGAGATTGAATCTCTCTAATTACATAATTTTGTTGTCATTTTTTAATTTATGATTGATTATGAATAAACAGCAACATGTTTTTATGATGCTAAACTTTTAAGTTGAATGATAAGCCTAAAACTTAATTTATTCATTTACGAAATTCGATAGATATCATTCAGGTTCATGTGAATAATTTTTAAATAAAATGTCGATGTCGAAAATAGGATAAGTGCTTAAAAAAAATTGTATATCGAGACTGTCACTCAAGTCCACATTCTGAAAAATTCCTAACAAAATTCTTACTGAAACTTGACGGAAGTTTTTTGTTTTGACTAATTGTCTATTATACTTGTTCAAATCTTTCACTAATTTAATTAAAATTTTCTCAGAAACTTCATATCGAAATCTAGGAAAGATCTTGACAAAATTTAGATCAAATCTTTTCTATTATTTCCATCAAAATTGATAGTGACTCCGTGTAAGATTCTGAATCATCAATTCAAAAAAAGTCTGAGCAAGAAATTGAAGAATCTCGAGAAATGATCAGGATTGAGTACAGTAAACAATAGTCTTTCGCAATCCTAATTGAAGTTTGATAGGATTAATCACTTTAGAATTTTAATTGATCTTGTTATTTTCTTGGTTTTAGATCCTTGTTCGATGTAGCTATTGACTCTGACAGAATCCTAATAAGAAGATTTGATTTAGATATTTGAGAAGAAATTTGCTACTATTTTGACAAAACTCTGTCAAAGTCCTACGCACGACTGAGAATGAGTTCTTGTAAAACTCTACATTCTCCATGGCAAAGAATATCTGAGCAGAAACTACTAATGATTGGAGATAGGATTGTGAATAAAAATTGACAAGATTCTTAAGAACAACAAAGAGCTAAATTATTTATAATTCTTAATATTAATTTTCATTCAAGTTCTATAACTTATTGATATACATAACATCTTTCACTTCATCTATTCGTCCATCGATTTCTTTTTGCCATTAGATTTCGTCTATAGATGATACAATCAAAAAGCAATAGGCAGAAATATGTGAAAAAACTCTTGCTTACAACAACAATTCAAAAGATTAAAGATTGCTTAAAGACAAGATGTAAAATCTATAGTTCATTGTATTAACCTTATCTTTCTAACTTGCTGGTTTATTTAGAATCTAATCAGCAATCAAATCTGCTTATTTCGATAGTTTTGAATATAGAACTTAAAAGTTCACGTGCGATAAGGTAAAATTTCGAACGGTTTGAGTAAGATAGAAAGATGTCTTTAAATCAAAAGGAAAATGAAGTATGACTTTGGACAATATCAGTTGTTTATGTTCTCAAAATTGAAATACAGAAGAAAGAAAGCATATTTTCTGCAACAAATGTTTTATTTTTGTCTTTAATTGTATAACTCGTTATTTTTGACAATGGATGAAACTATTAGTCTGATAAATATCCTATTTTTTATGTTAGCAATGACACCATCTAGTATTGATATTCTCTTATTCGTTCTTCTATAATCTATTTTTAAAATTGTAATAAAAATATTATTGAAATCATTGGCTAACAAAATCATAATTGATCTATTCGAATATTTCAAACCTCTTCATCTTCTTCAAACATTTCACAATCTAAATATTCGCTTGAATAATCTACTCTTCTACTATTTAAGAATTCATACTTTTAATTTTCAATTCATATCTAATATTGATTTTGATAATGTTTGTCAACAACATTTGTTCTCAATAGTTGATCAAATCATTTCAATTCGTTTATCAGACAATAACAATATTCCGTATGAAATCGATCGTTTTCTAGCTTATGGTTTTAAATTTCAATAACTTACTCGATTACAATCTCTTACATTAGATTGCAATTCTTGTCAACATGTGCAAGATAAAATTCTATTTGAATTGCATCATATATCAACTGAATTAACTCATTTGACTATATTTTTAAACAGTAATGATTATACAAGGAAAAATATTGACGTACGATCTCGATCTCTAATAAATATTATTTGGAATTTATCCAAATTGATTTATTGTAAAACAAAAATATGAACCCTTTTCCTATACCAATAACTGTTTCAACATCTCTTGAACATCTATTAATCGAAGGTCAGTGCTTTTACTGTTTTCAAGATATAACTCCCTTAATCAAATATACACCATATTTGAAACAATTGACTCTACCAACGAACATAGAATAATTAATTTTTTTCAACATATGCCTAATCTCTATCGATTAACATTTCGTATGGTGAACTTATATATCGATGGATATAAACTAGAACAAATTATTCGAAATGTCTATTAACTCATTTGATGAGATTCGAATAGAACTAGTTAATGAATTAGTCAAATCGTATTCAAGTCCTTTTTGTGCTTGAAGAACATCATTGGTTTATTCGATGTCATTGGCATCGAAATAATTGATATGTTCATCTCTATACTTTACCATTTGTTTTTCATGAATATCATTTTGAATGACCGATTCGATCACAATCAACGTGTCACCTTGATCATATTTGTGACTGGTCCTATAATCGAGTGCAACAATTAATAGTATTAAATACTCTCGATCAAACGTCAGTTCTGTCCAATATTCGCTTCTCAAAGGTCAATCATCTTTTTCTATCGTTTCGAATCAATAATCAATTCGAATCGATTATTTCAAATTTTATTCATTTGACATCGTTCTTTGTAATCAATTATAATCATAATCCAAGAAATGAGTTGCAACTACAAGCTTTATTCAATCGATCATTTCATCTTCATCGATTACACTTTATTAATTGTTCGCATTCAACTTGGACAAGACCACCATTTCAATTGAAGCATACATCAATACGTGAATTAGATTTGAAATGCGTTAAATATACTAATAAACAATATGCAGTATTCATTCGTTCACCACTTGGCATGCAATGTGAAGTACTTTATATTCATGTTCAAAATCGTACATGTATAGTTGATCTTGTTCAAACAATGGGCAATCTTCGATTGTTGTATGTTATGAAAATCGGAATAATCAAACATCATTAGAAAAAAAACGATCAGTTTATTGAGTGATTACAACCTCGTATCCCATCGAAATGGACGTGATCGCAAGACAGACCTATTGTTCTTATTCCCGTGTATTATGGATTCGTTAATAAAATACAGATGACATAGAGAATATCAGACTGAGGAGTGGAATCAGATAATTTTTTTATTATTTACCATTCTTGAAAGATTATTTTTACAAAGAAATGAGGGGCTTGTTAAGGATGTATTAGGCATGATTTATAACTTCAATTTTTTTTAATCTCGTACAGAGACAGGTTTCTATGAGAATGAAATAATTAACTTTGATAAAGAAGAGACGTAAAAAAACAAAATATTTTCTTTTTTATCATAATTAAATTTTAATAGGAGATTAATTAAAATATCTTAAAAAATTTTTCCAATAGACTATTCTTAGTAAGGCGTACACCTCTATGCAAAGTTTAATAAGTACAACGGCAGTTAGGTACAACATACAAGAAAAAAAAGACAATATCGTAGAAGCTCTAAACTATAATGACGAACTTTTTTCAGGATATTCATGACTCATTAAAACCTATATGATGTACATAGTTTTGATTCAAGAATAGTTCTAAACTAGAAAACGTTGATATGTTCGTTTTTTTCTCAATTTAAATAGAATTTTATTTTCCAACATATTTCTATTTGATATGAAATATAGATCTTCATAGAACAACAAAATAAGAGAAGTAAATCGAGACTTGATTTGTATTTTTTTTTGCATCATATTTTCAATAGATGAAAAAATAAATTTTAATTTATTTTATTTTTGCTCTTTTTTTTTCTGATAATACGACTATTATCAGAATAATAATAATCAATTAGTAGGACCTCGTATGTGATCGATAGCATCACCAATAACACTTATCAATAATTATAATAATATGTAATACAAATAGAAATCAAATTTCGAACATATATTCATTCAATTTTTATTTGAATTTTTACATCTTTAAACATGATATCTTATAGGAGTTGGTTAACTAATCTGATACTAATGATATTTTCAACTAAAATGAAAAATAGAATCGAATTCTATTGTCGTTTAAGTAAACTTAGATACGCTACATATTGAAATTAGACATAAATGATTTTAGTGTTTATTATACCGTTTGAAAATCAAAAATGGTCTTGTTTATTTCTTAGTTTCTATTTGATGAAATTATTCGAAATTAATATCGAAGTATCTATTATCACTTGCGAATAGTGAACTCATCCATCTTCGTTCAATAGAAAGCTAAATTTCTGTTAGATGTTAGAGAAAAAGTTAAAAAAATATTTCATCCTCCAGTGATCCCACTATAAAACCAATTAACTATCTTAAATTCGATTATAGTTCTATTTGTGATGATCTATGTTTTTTTTTTGTTATGCAAGATATTCAAATATTTGAAAGTTAAAGAGTACATACATAAAATAGTAAGAAAAAAGTAAATGAGCTCGTCTCTGAGTTGAGAGTAACGAACTTCTGTTCAGTAAACACAAGTTTTATGGATGACAATAAGTTTTAAAAAAAAACTGTAGTCCAATTGATTTTTAATTGCTCAACCGTACTTAGTCGTCAAAAGAATTTAGTTGTGAAACGGTCTATGACTTAAAAATAACTGGCTTCGCCACTGGACATAACTATGTCTGTTTGTTCAATCTATTTAAGGTTTCTTCTTAATTGTAGAATAGACAATATAATGCAATATTTGTTCATTTTCTTTGTCAGTCATCTTTTTATTATTATAAAAACAAAGTTGAATAAAAAAAAAATCTAATCAATTATTATTTACGAAAGAAAACTGTGAAACTAGAGAATATAACATTAGATTGCATTAAAAGAGTATTATTTATTGAGAACTATTTGGTATAAAACATTGTATTTGATGAAAATTACAGAGGAGATAAAAGAAAACTTACATGCTTATGAAATAGAATATCTACACTTATAAGATTTAGATTTTGAGTCAATTTCTTTCACCATAGAGCTGTTTTTATGTTGAACACATTTTACTAGATTTCAATCTTTTGTTATAATTCAATAATCAATTTATGATTAACATCAGATATCTAAATTCATGTAATGAAATTGGCATTTTAAAATACTTTATTGCTATTTGAAAATTATTACCATAAAGTATACATTTGAGATAGTATTAGATGTCCTATAAATAAAATGTATATCAACGTCGATTGTAGTTCAAGTTTTACTCTTATTGAAGATGTACTCTTTTCGAATAAGACAACCTATATCTACATTATAAATACGATCAAAGTAGCTGACTCCATGTGATTATAAACGAACTCACATGCTATCGTATTTACATATTCTTTTCAATAAAAGGATGGACTTTAAACACGAAGTTTTATCTGATTATATGATTACTTATTTTTTCATTATGCTGAATTCAAAATAAAAAACAAAATCTTCTGCGTTTAATAAATGCCAATTGAATGCAATCATGCATTACACTGATGTACAAAGATCTTTTTTTTGACGTACTATCCATTTTCTGATTGCCATTTTGTAGTTTTAGCAGGGAAATCTGTCATCTATTGTATACATTTATATCTTATTAACTTTGATAATAACAAAAAAAAAACATAAAATTTTTTTATTCATATATGACAATCACATTTTGATAGATTTGCAATGTATTGAAATGCGAATAGGCTTTTTTGTTTGGGTTTTTTTTTTTATAATTTTTATTCCGAGAAGAAAACAAAAACAGCTCTCTTTCTACACAAAATCATATAGAGATTCCGATATAAAATAAAATAAATTGTACTAATTTATTTCATCATATAAATAATTCATAATGAAAAACTTTCTCTTCTACACTTGTCTATACTTTTTTAAATCATTATTATTTGTAGAGATAGCTTATTTTTGGGGTGGATCTATTTCATGACAAACTGTTTCGTCAAACTTGACTAATAGTACTACAATAACTATTAAATTAAAACAAACATATTCATTGGCAAATTATCTTTGGCCATGTTTATCAGTATCTGGTTCTCTTATCGATACACTCGATTGTCTAGTAGGTTGTGACTCTATTACAACAAGTATTTATGTAAAAGGTACTTGTATTAATTATGATTTTGGCTTAAATGTAACTATCTCTCAAAGTATACAATCAATAACATATCCATTAGGTACATAACGTGTACTAGTCTATCAAAATAGTGCATGGTTAGCACTTGTTTTTGGGCTACAGTCATGGAGTTTAGCAACATATATTAATTTAGCAGTACGTAGTGATAATGGACAAATTAATTCATCATCAATCACAAGCATGTCTCCATTAATCACTGTACCTATTAATACGCATCAAATATTTCGTATACGAATGACAGGTATTGATAATGATATTATTAAATGTCGATGGGCAAATAGTACATCTATAGTAGCTTCTATACCTATCGATGAATGTGGTGGTATTTGTCAAAATATACATAGTACTCAACTCTATTCATCATCAAATATTGATAATAATTGTACACTTATATTTAATACAAGTATCACTGGTTATTATGTTATAGCTATACAAATAAAAGATTTTATGCCATCTGATCCTAATGGTACAGCATTAAGTTCTATTCCATTACAATTTCTTGTACATAGTATACAACTTTCATGTAATTTACCAATTATTGTTGGTGATCTAATCAATAGTTCTACCCTATATGTACAAGCTAATGTTACATTTTCTACAGCAATTATTGCACAAACAGGTTAATCGATTTTTAACAATAAGTCTACCATCAGGTATGGCAAGTACATCATCGATAGTTCAATGTGGTTCAATATTGTATTCAATAACATTTACATTTATATCTTTTTTTGATCAAATTAGTACAACATAATTGTATTTTACAATAGCAATTGATAGTAATAGTTTATAAACTATTCAATATTGTTTAAATTTTGTTGCTATTGCTCCAATATCGATTAGTACTACGTCAATTTGAACAAGTACATTCGACGAATATTTCATCAAATTCATCTTTAACAAATACAGGTTTGTTAAAAGTAAATTTATTTCAAATTGACTGAAACGTCTGGAAATTATACTTTTTAGTTCTTACAAAAACAATTAATAATGAATCAATGAATTTTTATCTATTACTTGGATTTATTTTGGACCTTGATCTTTCATTATATCTTCTTTTAAGTTTATTGAGTTGTTGTTGCTGTTTTACTCAATGGTATGCTCAATCATTTTGGTATGTTAATGATATTATTTTCTTTGAAATACTTATGAAATATCAAGTGAAAAATAAACAATAAACAAAGATGTACAACATTATCGTGAATAATATATTAATTCAGATGAAGTATCTTATCGATCAAAACGACCATCACATAGATCTTTGAGCACAAGTTCATTTTTACCATTTGAATCAAATTCTCTGACAACTACAAGAACAACATTTCTATCTCGTATTTCTAGTACTGTAACACCGACGGATTATGCTTCAAGTATTCTATCGTTATCGAAACGAATATTGCCAAATGAATCAAATAGTTCTCATCTGTTTCAAACTTATTGTCAATAAAATAACAGTCAATGACTATGAATTGGAATAAATTTATGCTATTATAACTAATGACACTTTTGATATTTGTAAATCTTTAGTGTTTATCAATAAAATTTTTCTAATTTTGAGAACAAATTCACTTATGTTCGTTCTATGAAGAAATTAAAACTGTATTTCAATCTATATAATAAGACTTTTCCATTTCGTTTCGGAACTCGACCTTAATGTCGATACGTTAAAATCACATAAAATTTTTAGAATATATTAACGTTTTTAGAAAATACAAATCCAACAAGAGTCCAACATAGCTCATCTACGATTGCAATCTTCTTGTTATTTAAACTAATTACAATAATAATTTCAAGTTGTACCTATTGAAAATATAAAAGTAAAAGCTTTTAGGATCGTTTTAACATCAGAAAAGATTTTAAATATCAAAAGAGTTCAAAACTTTCTAAGAACACAAATTAATCTGAATCACATTTTTATTTTTAACTTCTTTTTCCAATTTTTATTCTATTTAATTTTATGTCATGCTTGCATTTACATTGTACATTCGTACAAAATTCTTTATCCAAGTACTATTGCATTCCATTTTTTTCTTATCTTATTATTGGCGCTATTAGAATTTTCTACGTTTTATGCTTGAATTATTCTAAGGAAAATAAATTATCATTATTTATTTCTATTTCATATTGAAAACAAAAACCAGACAAAAATTCATTGATCAATTGACCTCTGACATTCTTTCTTGATTATTGAATTGATTTGATTATTTATTCTATTGTAAATATACATTCTGAAAAAGTAGATATACTTTTGCTACATGAAAAAATCTCTAGAAAAAGATAAAAAATAACCATAAAAATGATGATGAACTTACAAAAATTTATCAGGATTCATGTAAATGAAGTAATTGTTTATGTCAAACAAAAATGAACATCTTAAAGGTGAAATAATGCCCAAATCTTTGTATTTCCAATTGAAAAACTCAGAAAATTATTGAAAACATGAGAAGCAAGAAATTCAGTAATCGAATTTTTCTATTTTCGAATGAAATTAACCACTAAATTTCTTCTTTCAAGTTCTTACCATTTACTCGAGTTTTTCTGTCGGAAACGCTTTATATTTCTCGACCTCGACACCTTTCAAGAAATGATTGTCTAGAAAAAAAGAAAAGAAAAAGATCGAAGGTCTAAAATGTAAAAACAATTCGAGTACTTGTTAAATACATGATTTATTAATCATAAGTTTTTTGAAAAAGGATAAAAATATGGAAATAAAGAAGATAAATATACAGCATCGGCTATGATGCAACATTTTACCGTTGTAACTAGAGAGTAAAATTAGCACAAGAGAAAAGTGACAAGTAGCATGATCATAAGGAAAAAAATTCAGCACTGTTTCGAAAATTCCTTCTTCACTTTCATATCCTTTTGGTAAGTAACAGTAAACTTTAAAGATTTTCTTACGAATCAACTTCCGCATTTTGAGATCTTGATGATTAGAATATGGATGTCGGTGTCCAGTGTAATTACTGGATGTGAGTGAATTAACAGCTCACATTCAGGCCTACTATCATCAAGATCGACACTCACACTCGAAAATACGTTCAAACCAACGCCGACACTTGAAGAAATGTGACTTATAAGCCAGTGGAGCCCGGCTGTACCCGTTGTAATGAAAGATAGTTTTCAGCAGAAATCTAATCTTATTGACTGTTTTATGAATTTCCGAGATTTTTCTCATTCGATCTTTTTTTCCTTTCGGTTAATTAACACTCCCTCAAACAAAGTGTATATCACTGCAAGTACATGAAAATCTTGACTTTTTTTCCCTATAAGAAAAGGTTAAAGAGTCAACCTTTCTCTTTTTAGGTAATTGTGCATAAAGCATTTTCATGTATTTATATCGAAGAAGTATTGATCATCCAATTTCCTTGATTGAAACCCATTAGATTATGAAACTATGAATTGAGACCATATAACAATAAAACTAATATTGATAGACCAAATAAATCGTTCATATTAGAAAAAATATAAAAGAGAAGAAAAAAAAACTTTATACCCTGTACATTATTGACTTGTACGATTACATTTGATTTCAAGAATAAATAAGACTTTTTTTCATGTACTTGACATGTACAGATTTCGCGATGTGTTCATATCATTTGACTTTCTTTCAATTGACAATTACTTAAATGCTTACATAATTTATGTGCACATTCGAAGCAAATCCTACATTGAATATCATATGAATGAGTACACTCGAAATAATCAACCAGAATAGAATAAAAAAAAAAAACTTTTCTTTTCAAAATGAAAAGATGTTTTTACTATATTAAAATTGATTTTACGCCTCATAGGTATCGTTTTGCATAATTCTGACAAATGACTAAATTCGATAGAGTATTCCTATTACTGGTTTGCTATGAGGATATAGACTTTTATTGTTAATCTACATTGTTTTCAATAAAGTATTTCATTTGTGATAAGTTGAAGTATTCAAATTTGCGAAAAGATTTCAAGATAAGAAATTTCACTAGATTAATTATTCATGAACTACTCATTTAATTTTAATCGTCGCACCTTTTTTTTTAATTTAAATAGATTAATAAGCAATAAAATATTTATCAGTATTTAACAATAATAAATATGAAATATTTTTAATATTAGAAATTAAAAAAAAAAAAAAAAACAAACACCAGATTTAATTCTTATTCAAGATTATACGAAACATTAAAAAAAAAAAAATTTCTTTTTTTGATTTTTTGTTCTTATAATTATGCACAAAGCAAAAGATTCTCTTTTTATATAATAATAAAAAATTAAAATATATTGAATAAAGCAAGAAAAGTTTTTTTTGTTTTCACAAAAAAAAAAAGAAAGCAATCATAAGCATAGAATAATAGAGAAAGAAAAACCACAAAATATTTAACCTACATAGGTGAGATTTCAAATAGCAAAAAAAAAAAAAAAAACATCAAGATAATTGTTTATTTGATTTAACCCATAGTACCTGGTTTTTGAATTTGCGTTTGTTGTTGCATATTTGAACCAGAAATATTTGAAAAATTATTTTCTTGTGGATATTGTTGTGCTGTACGACTCTTAAAAAATTTTGTTTCTTTATAAACAAACCACATACTACCAAGCCAAAGTAAAAAATTTAAAAATCCAAATATAACTGATACTGTTATATTAGTATAAGTACCAGCTAAAAATAAAAATAACATAAAAAAATAAAAATAAAATGAATATATAACTTACATTCATATTCCTCACATACTGGTTGATTATTATCACAATCTGTTATAAGTTCTTTTACATAATCAAAAGAAGTTTGTGTTCGTATATTTGATACACCACTTGCCCATGCTGAACTACCAGCAATCCAAAAAATAGTCCATATTAATATAAGAATAAAATCAATTATAGGAATATTTTCATTAAAACGATATAAACGATCGGTTACAATATATAGTGTTAAAAATGCAAGTGATATTAACATTGATGTAACACCCGTAAAAACAAAAAATTCAGCTGATGGTTTAATATTATTTGAACTTGATAATGTTGGTTGACTTGTATTAAGACCTGTATTAATTGTAGCAGCTTGTAAATTATAAGGATAAGACCATGAAACATTGGCTACTCCTGTATTTGAACCTTTTCGAATAATAAGATAAGAACTACCATTACATGCTGTAGCAAAAGCAAATATAGCAAATATAAATTGAAGCAGTCGAATAAGACCGCGAGGTTCTAAAATTGAAAGAGAAAAAAAAATAATGAATTTATTATTAATTTTTAACTTATTTGAATAGAAATACTTGAAGATTTTTTAATTATTTTGAAAAAGAATTCTTTTTTTTTTTTTTTTTCAAATTTAAATCATATTAAGAAAATTTGAATGTTATGATATAAATTTAACTTACCTTTGAGTATTCCGAAATAAAATGCCATTCTATTTACAAAAATTTTTGATTGTAAAAAATCTATTTAAAAAACAAAAACAAAAAAACATTATTAATTAATTCAACAAGGACAAAAAAAAAATTCATGTTTTTATGCGTCATTTATATAGAGAAGTTATTTTTATAACATTTCTTCCTTGTTGTTTTGCATCAACATACACGTAAATCGTTAGATCACAAATAACATTTATTAACATAAAAAACATATATCTATTAACGTCTCATGCAAACTTTTCTTCTATAGTATCTACCTTCATATTAGTTGTATGTTGACGACAATGGTATTCTGTTCGATGTTTGAATGAAAAATACTGATTATTCTGTTTGCTTCTTTTCTCGTCTCTTTTTTTTTCTTACTCTATGACTCAATAATGCAGGTGTGTAAGTAAAGAAAGTAAAAAGTCTCTCTCTCTCTTCATCAAATATTTGTTGATAGCATCGATAAAAAAAAACGCAACCATAACGAACAAGTGTTAGAAGAAGAAGAAGAAGAAAAAAAAAAGAAGTCTCAAAAAAAGAAATAAAACAGTAATGGTGTCATTGCTACATCGTAAACCTTTCATTTCAATTGAAGAAAAAAGAAAGAATAAAACATTGGTAGATGAACAGAAAGCAAAAGAAAAAAAAGGGTTTTATGTTCTTTTTTTTTTTCTTCTTCTTTATATGACAAAAGTAAATTATAATTTTATAATAATGATGAAAAAGAAAAAAAAAAGACTTTCTTGAATGAAAAAATAAATCATACGAAAGAAATGTATCTTATGATTGGTCAATGAGAATTGATTATTTTTAATAGATGACATTGTTTGTTGTTTGTTTTTTTTTTTTGTTTTCATTTTCTTTATCAGAAATGTTAAATATAATATCAATTAAATGATTTAGTTTATTTATTATATCATTTGATCATTTTTTTAACCAATTATTAATTAAGAATTATTCGAAGTGTGAACACAAAAGAAAATTTTTTTTCTAGTTTAGTGTATTTGACAATTCATATCGACACTTTTTTTTTGTTTTTAGAATGAAATGTCATTGTAAATATTGTTTACCACGTTTTTTTTGTCAAACAATAAATGAAAATGATTTTTGTTATTATCGACATTCAATAAAAACGAATGGTACTAATGATTTTGGATGTATTCAAAGTGATGTTGCTCGTTTTTTAGTATGTTTTGTTTTTATTTAATAAACAAGAGAGATAAAAATGATTTTTTTTTTTAGTGCAATACAACTGATGCGAATTATCGAACTGAATGTTGTTCTTCATTCTTTTGTAATATTAACTATCAAGAATCAATTACATGTAAGTCAGAAAGATTAATATAAAGTAATTGTTGATCACATGAAATTTTGAGACATATTTCATCTTAATCTTCGAAAAATGTAATAAGAAAGTAGATTATATCCTCAAAACGAGACGTTATTAAAATATGATCTTTAGAAGAATCTAGATTTTGACCATCATACGTTAAGATTACTTTTGAGATTGTGTTCCACTAAAGTCAGATGAACAATTAATTAAACTACGAACGATATGATACTAGACTTTTTGATTATCGTAGTTAGTGTAAGATGCTTCTAAATTATTATTCGTTTTAGAAGTTAAGGCACTCGGTTATTTTTTGAATAACTTTTCATAGGAACAAGATCGAGACCTGCGATTTTCACCGTTTGATAGCTAAGATCCAGACGCATAGTTTCATAAGCAAAATTTTTTCTAAGAAAAAATCCGAAGACCGGTTTTTCAGGAGAAAAAAGCGTTTTGATGGAATTCACTTTTTAAGCGAGACCACAGAGGTGAATTTCTCGATGAAAAAGAAGATTCGAAACATATACGAGTTGGCTCAGTTTTTGATGCTGATTTCAAGTATGTAAGAAAATCAATAGACTTCTATAACAGTTTCCAGATATCCAGAGTGATTTTCCAGCGATCTCCTGAAAAATCGGTCTTCGGATTTTTTTTTCTTAGAAAAGATTTTGCTTATGAAAATATGCGTCTGGATCTTGGCTATCAAACAGTGAAAATCGCACGTCTCTATCTTGTTCCTATGAAAATTTATTCAAAAAATAACCGAGTGCCTTGACTTCTGGAACGGATAATAGTCCGATATTTTTCTTACAATTGACAAACTTAAATAATTAGTAAATAAATCATAACTTTGGATTAAACGTCAGTCTAATTTTCGTTCATTGAGACTTTCATACACATTTTCAAGAAAATATATCTTGAAAGTACAGTGTTTTATCCAGGATTTTTTCTCCGGAGGGGCGATTTGAATTTCCGAGGGTGCGAAAAATTATTTTCGGGGGGGGGGGGGGGAAGCCATTTTTTCTTGAAACTGTGAATGAAAGGGGGGGGGGGGGGGGGGACGCCCCCCCCCGGGCACCCCTCTGGATAAAACACTGGAGCAGTAAATGTATGTCAAAATGTAGAAAATATGTTAATACATGAGATCTTTAGGACAATATCCATAAATAACTTGTTCCAGGTTAGTTAATAACTAGATGACGATATAATACCTTTGATGAACATCGCATCTATTCAGTTATTGCCTATATCGATCGAAGTTAATTAAAAATTCTACTAACTGATTAATTGCTTTTAATGCAGACTTGATTTTCGAATTTTATACAAAGATCTGCCTTAACGCGAATAGTTTATTACTAAAGTTTTAGGTCTTTTGATTTACTTCTAAGATTGTCAGATCTGCTGTTATATTTTAAGATAGTATCTACGACACGATTTGATATATTCACAAGAAATTATTGAAAAATCTTTCTATGAATCTTTTAATAAATTAATTTTTAAATAGAAAACGAATTCAATTATTTGTGAAACTAAATTTTTTTTATTTTTAATAAATTAGCATCAATACCTACTATTAAATCAATAAAATCTAATGATACTAATTTATTAAATACAATTATTATCATAGGTACTATTTTTTTTATTATATTATTAATTATAATAATCTATTATTCATATAAACGAAAGTAAGATAAATATAATAATAAAATAGAATTTTTCTTTTTTTATTTTATTTTTTCTAAAGATTTAAAAGTTTTTGGTCAACATCAAATAGTTTTATTGATGATAAAAATAATTTTCAATCTCAAATTAAAAAAAAATCTTCAATTCTATTTCCTATTGATTATCATTCAGATACAATATCATGGAAAACAAATTCATCAAATAATCATCATCAAATTGTACCACTTGTAAATATTTTCAATTGATAATAATAAAAGTATATATATATTTGGTTTTTTTCTAGGAAACTCGTCGTGTAAATAAAGAAATAACATTTCTTGAACAATTAGGTCAAGGACGACATGCACGTGTTCGTCTTGGTCTTATCGGTCAACAATATCGAGCAATAAAAATGTATGAAACAAGATTTCAAAATGAATTTGAACGTGAACGTACTATTTTTGAAACTGATCTTATTCAACATCCAAATATACTTGGTATATATATATATAAAAACAACAACAAAAAAAAAAATTTTCTATTTTTTTTTTTTGTAGCTTTTTTTGGTGCTGATTTTTATGCTAAAAGTACTGAAACTTATCATATGTTAATATTTGAATGGCATCCATATGGTACACTTTATGATGTTCTTCGAGAAAATAAAAATAAACAATTTATAACAATTGAACAATTATTACAATATTCTATATCATTATGTGATGGTCTTGCACATTTACATTCAATTAAATATGGAACAAATGGTAAGAATAATAAAAGATGATAGAATATTTTATCGAATGATATCGTTTTTATATGGGTTTTGTATACAAATGATTTTCTTTTTTTTGATAGATGATAAGTTTTTTATTCTAAGAAATTGATCAACAATCTTTTTATTTTGTTTAAAAAAGAATCGATGGATATCTATGTATATAATTTTGTACTGATAGGAAATTGACATACTCTTTATATGTCAACGAAGCTTTTTCCTTTAGTTCGAATCTTCAATCATTCGGAAAATACAAAATACTTTAAACAATCTTATAATAATCAAGTCATCATGGTCTGTTACTTTGAGAGTATAATTCATAGAATTTTGTTTTGCGTCTTGCCCTTGGTTCAACTAAAAGGATTATATACATAATATGCTAAACTCAATTCATCCGTATATCTAATAATTTTTCTAATATCTCATGCGAAAAAAAAGAAAATCATTTCTTTCTATAAATACTTTTCTACATCAATAAAAAAGAAAATATTATTTTTAGATATATGTAAACCAAAAATGGCACATTGTGATATAAAAAGTTCAAATATATTAATTAAACTTAATGGTGATTGTTGTTTATCAGATTTTAGTTTAGCTGTTCAATGTGATCCGTATGCAAAGTTTTTTTTTGTTTTTTTTTCATTATAAATAAGTCAAAAAAGAAAAAAAAAATTTTGTTTTGTTTTTGTTAGTCATACACAAATAATACAAGGTGGTGGTATTGAACGTTTTTATCATCGTGTTGGAACAAAACTTTATATGCCACCTGAATTACTTGATAGAAATAGTAAATTTAATTTTGATCGTATAAATTCATATCAACAAGGTGATATGTATTCATTAGCACTTGTTCTATGGGAAATAGGAAATTGTTGTTGTTCATTAATACATATAAGACCATATGAAAATCAATTATCAATTAATTTTAATCTTGATGATCTTATTCAACTTATTTTAATCGAACAAAAACGTCCAATATGTTGTATAAATACATCAGATAAAGTAATCAAAAGAAAATATTGTTATTGTTACTGATTTATTTTTATTTTGTCTAGATTCTTATATCATTTTTTAATTTACTTGATTTATATTGGTGTCAAGATCCATATGCACGTCAATCGGCAGCTAATCTACAAGATCAACTTCGACAATTACGTCCAATAAATAAATCTTCCTAGTTTTGATTGTATTCTTATTTTTTATACTCATATCAATCATATGTCAGATATTATCTATATGTTTATATATTTGTAAGTTTGTTTATATATGAAATAAAATTACCGTCAGATAAATAAATAAATATATATATATATATACTTGATTTTCGGATTTTATAACGAAAAAAAGAATAATCAATTACTATATTTGTACAAAGTAAGTTTGAAAGATATATATATATGTATTATGTTAATACTTGTTTTGTTTTTTTTCTAAGATAGACAATATAATTTATTCAGCTGAAAATAAAATCTATTTCTTTTTTTTTTGAAAAGATAGATTGATCATTTGTTATATCTTATATTTAAAAAAAGAAACAATCGATGTTTTATTTTTTTCTTGTTTGATAATTAGTTTACTTTTCGATATGAGATTATATTACCATATACATATATATACTCGACATAAATATTCGATCATTCATGCATTCATAATATAATATATTTGTATTGATACTTCATATGTTGATTATTTCATACTAATGAAACAACGATTTGAATGAAAAAGTATGACCTATATTGTTTATTATAGCCATTCAATAAAATCATGACAATTGCGATGATTCAACCATGTCTTTTTAACTTCTAGTGAGTGCAAAAAATAGGTTTTGATGATTATCGCTATAGGCGTTATTCGTATAATACAAATGGAAAAAATGAATCCATACAAAAGAAAAAAAAACCTGTATTTATTTATCTTTTTTCGACCTAGAAAGTTATTTTGTATGCAAAGGGTTACTTATGTTTTCCTTTTTTTTATAAGCTCACTGTCATTATATTTGACATGTGATGTGAAAAGAATATATATTAACATGCATTGACTATTATATTAAAAAAGAAAAAAAAAAAGTTTTTTTGTTTTTTCTTTACTTCTGTCTTTATTTTATATGAGTAGGTAGGTAAAAGAAAAAAAAAAGACAAGAAAGAATCGTTAAAATAACAACTAATGCTTTCCCGTTATTGATGACTCAACTATCATATCGTTCTTCGTCCTTGACTCCGATAGTTTCAAAAAAACATTATGTTTTATTCATCATACTAAACGATCAAAAACTTGATTTCAAAATGCTGATTGATTAATGAAAAAATTTTCTTTTATTTTTTTTTTAGATGGATGAATATTATTATTGTTCATCAAATCATGATTATTCTACGAAGATTATTGAAGATTCTATTGATGAATATTTAGATAATCCTAATTTAAGTGTTTCATATATGATTGAAAAAGTGAAGAAAAAAAAAAAACTTCTTGTTTTTTTTTTATATCTTTATATTTTTATTTTAGTATGATGTTCCTATGACAAATAATGACAAAAATAAATCGAAAAAAAATTTACGTTGTATTGTATGTAACGGAAGAGCATTTGGATATAATTTTGATCGAATATCATGTGAAAGTTGTAAAGGTAAAATAAATAATTCGAAAACAAAACAAAAAAATAATTTTATATATTTTTTTTTCTAGCTTTTTTTCGACGAAATGCTTTAAGAGATATGGTAAATATTGTTTTGATAATTTTATATATTATTATTATTATTTTTTTCTTAGAATGAATTACATTGTCGATTTTCTGGTAATTGTAATATTACAGTAGAAACTCGACGACATTGTTCATATTGTCGAATAAAAAAATGTTTTGCTGTAGGTATGTATGAAAGATATTTGAAAAAGAAAAATATTAAATTACATATGAGACATTATCTGACACACATGCAAAGTACTTTGAAGAACGCGTCAAAGGTCATACGAACTAAAGAAAGGTTATGTAATTGTTAGAAATAAATTCAGATGCAAGAAAATAATTTATATATTGAATCATACGATAAGATAATGATTTGATTGTGTTTTTAATTTTGTTAATAATTTTTTGTTTTTATTTTTCAACAAACTAAATTAAGAATGTATTGCAGGCACGTGCCGAAGGGGGGGGGCCCATGGGATTCGGGTCCCCCCCGTCAGGGCGGAAGAGGCCTGTAAGGGGGGGGGGGTACAGATATACGTTTTTTCCCCAGCAAATTTTCCCATGGTGGGCCTTCCCCCCTCCCCCTTAAAGACTTTGGGCCCTTCCCTCAGAAAATTTCTAGGTACGTGCCTGATGTATTTACTATGTATATTATTTGAATCATAATACCAATGTTTTATAATGAATATGTATATCATATTAATTGATTTTCTTTTGTTTTTGTTTTTTTTTGTATTAAGGTATGAGAAAAGAATCAATAAGAAGTGACGAAGAAAAATTTACGAAACGCCTTCAACTAATGAAAAATCATCGTCGTAAACATTCTGAGAAGACAATTGAAGTTAGTTTGTTTTTAGAAAATAAATTCATAAATTCTATTGTCTTTATTTAGAATCCAACTTTAATATCAATTGGAAATTCACGTATTATAATGATATTAAGTCCAATAGATCGAATACGTCTTAATAATATAATACATTGTTATGATCAATTTAGTGGTGAACCTAGTTCATCAACATATTGTCCACCATCAACAGTTCTTTGTTTACGTATTGATGAATTTTTTAATCGTAAAAAACCAATTTTTATTAATTTTATATCTTATTTTAAACATTTACCTGAATTACAAACATTAAATGTTGATGATCAAGTATCATTAATTAAACAAAATATTCGTCTTTTAATACCATTGAATTATGCTCTATTAAAAACACATATAAATTCAAAATTTCGTGAAACACCACGTATACAAACAATTGGTTGTATTAATAATGTTAATTTACATGAAATGTTTCGATCATTATCAAATTCTTTTGTTGATTTTGTTACATATGATCCAGTTATAGTTAAATTATTGGTTGTTATTCTATTTTTTACAGCTAATCCTTTAACAACAAGATCTATATATGATCCAGTACAGTTCAAACAATTAAATAATATAAAACAGTTTCAATCATCATATACTGAATTATTATGGTTATATATGCTTGAAAAATACGGTGAACAAAATGCAATAATTTTATTTACAAAAATGATAACAAAATATTTATATCTTCAAATTGTAATCGATGGAATCGATTCAATAATTCGAATGAATAATGATATACATAATATTGATTCATTAATGCAATCATTTTTACAACTAACATAATAAAAAAAAAATAAAAAAATAATTTTTTTTTAGGAAAAACTTCATTTATAATATAGATGCATTTTTCTTTTTGTCGTTTCATTCAGGTAATAAAACATGTTGTTCATTAAAAACTCTTATTGTTTCAGTTTTTTGAGAAATTGAATTCGATTATTTTGAAATAAGTGATATATTCATGACGAATATGTCATAGTGTCCTTGCATTTTTAAAGTACAAATTATTCTTGTATTTTTCTTTTTTTTTTGCATTTTAAAGTGTAAAATAGAACAAATAAATATATATTACAAAAATTGCAATGATTTATCATGCATATCGCGATTAATGAACGTTTTGTTTTTTTTTTTACGAAATGTCAGATTTCGCATTAAACTGGTGAGCATATTCAAACAGCTGATACCAGTCACATTAAATTGTTTTTCGATTTAGTTACAAGTTTGATCATTTAGTCGCAATATCATGACAAAAGATAGTCATTATATAGAAAAATTAATCGATTGAGAAAATGACAAAATCATTAAATAAAATATTCTATGACACATTAACTTCGACATTTGTAAAACAGATGTTACAAATTTAATAGACAATCTAGTAGAAAATGTGTGGGAACAAAACAATAAAATAAACCATTTGAACTATTAATTTTCATGGAAAAAATGATGACATGAGAGAATAATTTTTTGAAATATTTTCAACAAAAAATAATGTCTTATTCTCATTATTTGCAGGCAAATATCTCACAAGGAAATATTTTCAATTGATTTCTCACTGAAGTCTAGTAGATTGTGGACTATCGACTATATTGATTTTAGATATGACTATAAGAAATTTTCATAGATGTTTACATATTGATTTTCTAGACTAACAAAAATGGACGCGAAATTAAATGGGCTCGGAAAAAAGAGATACTTGAGCTCGGTGTGTTTAATTGGCTTTAAAATGAGAGAAATGAAGCTCGGTTTTAATAAAATTATATATTTTTTATATAAATGAAAGTTTTGAGCTCGGAAATTAATTTATACTCTAAAAAAGTTATAAATGAACTCGGTTAATTTTATTTTTGTCGTTAAAAAGAGAGAAATGAGCTCGGTAATTAATTTATGAAAAGTAATTAATGAGTGTGGGTGTTGGTTCGGATGTGCTGGTAGATCAGAAGAACACCCACACCCTCTTACAAACTGCTGAACGTATGCTGTACGACTGGTCATTAGCTAGTATCAGTACACCATTTACGATTCAAATCGAATTTAATGATGATTTAGCATCTAGGGCATATAAATGGTTACAAAAACTTGATCGAACAAAAGTGTTACATTTAGGCGCAGCTAGTTACGTTGTACCTTCTTCTGAACCAAAAATGGATACATTATTATGGATACAACATTACCATAGTTTATCTTGGAATTGTTACGATGAATTTATCGACTGGTTAAATTCTGCGCGTTTACTTGATTTTTCTCGTTTAACTCCACCATTATTTTGTTCATGTAAATATGGCCTCAAAGAATATTCTTGCATTCATTCTTTGGGTTTATTAATGATGTGGAGCAGAGATGGACAAAATCGCACCGCGCCTCACCGCGCTTCCCCGCGCCTAGGCGCTACGCACATCTCTCTTTCTCTTTGCTCTACCAATCAGTTTCTCAAACTCCACCGAATACCAGGATGCTCTAAGCATGCGCTCATCGAAGCTCAGACTAGTTTAGCGTAGGTGTGAGCAACGGCGCGGGGAAGCGCGGGGAGGCGCGGTGCGATTTTGTCCATCTCTGATGTGGAGTCATTGTAAAATTCCACAACAACTTGGAATAAGAAGGGGAAAAGGTCGTCCAAAGAAAGTTAAATTAGCTTTAACAAAAGACTGAATATTAGTAAAAATCTATTGTAACCTAGCACTTTTTTTGTTCTTGAACTATTTTTTTCTTATTAAATATACTTTGCCACTGACAAAATCATTAATTAATTTTCATAAATTAATTATCGAGCTCATAACAACAAAAATAAAATTAACCGAGCTCAATTTATATCTTTTCAGAGTATAAATTAATTTCCGAGCTCAAAACTTTCATTTATATTAAAAAAAAATATAATTTTATTACAACCGAGCTCATTTCTCTCATTTTAACGCCAATTAAACACACCGAGCTCAAATCTCTCTTTTTTCCGAGTTCATTTATTATTTTATCCAACAAAAAATTTTCCCAAAATGTAATCACATTATAGACTTATCTATAGAACAATAATCTTTTTTGTTTTTCAACAACGAATTTCAAATAAAAATAATATTATATTCAAGATCGTCATATTGAAATGTTGATTTAGATGTATGTATGTAGAAACTATGAAAATTGGTTGACAAATTTATAATAAAAGAATATACGCTTTTTTTTTAATCAAAATTTTCACTTGTAAGAAAAAAATAGAGTATCAGCTCATAAATTATATAAAATTCTTCTGTAGATCTAATGATCTTAGTTTTAAAAATAAATTTCAATTAAATTGCTGCTTGTAGCAAAGAAACATATGTTTCTTTGTAGTGATTTGCAATTTGTTAATATCATCTTCTATGTTTTTCTTAATATTAATTTAGCTGATTTGTTTGAATTGAAGCTTTTATATAACAACGGCTAATGTTTTTTTTTTTATAAATTTCTCGGCCAGTTTTCGTTTTCTATTCTATCTGTTCCAGATGTTTTATAATCTAAATAGATAAAAAATTTTGACCGAAAAGTTGAGCATGGTTGTTTAGTGTACAATCGACTAGCTTTTATTAAGAAACCGATTGATCAATTGAAAACATTCACTTGCCAAATGATTTAGATTAATTACTTGTGTTGTCATAGGATGCTCAGAGATCTCTTATCAACATTAAACTTTTATGATAATGAATACAATCATCATTAGAAAAATCTAAATAATTAAGTAAAAAGTTACGCATTAATTTAACTATGTATCATTGATTGCTTTAAGCAAAATTTGACTATAATTATCGAATTGTATTAACATGAGAATTTAACTAGAAACTTAAAACATTAAAAAATCTTCCGCTAGGATAATAAAAAAAGCGAGGAGAAAATTGAAACACGAGTAAATTCCATATTTCAGAGCACTGAAGTTTTTTAGTACAAAGGAAAACAAAAATTCATTGCATTTATTTTATCAGAATGTAGTTTGTAATCAATAAACTTGAAATACATCAATCTTTATATCCAATTGATCATCTAAAATACCTTTTCTTCGTCTAATTCGCAAAAGTCATGAACTCTTTTTTTTTTTTCTAGTAAATAAAACTATTTTATTATCATTCTAGCCAACAATTTTTTCATTAACTATGACTCAATCTGGTATGGATTGTCGGTTTTCATCCAATATTCTTCATTAACAAATGACTATTATATTGACAGACTTCAAGTATCTGATGTTAAAGCAAAAAAGAAATGTTAATTTTATGACGACAAGAGATTCTTTAATTCAATTAGATATACATTTATTGTTCAGGCTATTACTTCCTCTGACGAATGTACTTTTTCTAATAAAGTCAATTTTTGCTAAAAGAAAAATGAAAAATCAAATAAATGCATGAGACCATAAATTAAGGTCTAATCTTTCATAAACTATATGATTTCTTTTGTATGATACTTTTTATAAATTTCTACAATCCTACTCCAACTTTTGCTGATTGAGATATAGAAGTAGTTTAGATATACGATGCAATTCTAACAAAAAAGAGTTAACTGACGTAGTCAGAGCATAGAAATAATACTCAACTTTTCTATCTGCTAAAATAAATCATCAAGCTATTTTCAAAACCAGATACTAAACAGAAATATAATACATCACCAAACTTTTTTTCAAAACTACAATAATTAAATCGCATAAAAATGTCGCGAAATATGAACATACCGATCTTTATACATTGCTGAGGACATCTCAATAAGTGAGGATACTACGCAATCTAGTACTTACCATATGTCATACATTTTCATTACCTTTTATATCACCTATACGTCCCTTACATCCATTACCTCGTGTACATCGTATATTTCCTATACCTCTCTGACCTTGTATATCTCCATTGCTCTCGTATACCTCTTATACATTTCTTACCTTGCATACATTCATTAACTTCTCTACCTCGTATACCTACATTACTTTTTGTAGTTCTTATATCTCGCATACATGGTGTAGCTCCTATATCTCCTATACTTTTATTACCTTTTATATTTCCTATCCCTCTTTAACCTTGTATACCTTCATTACTTTCTATACTTCTTTTGCCTCGCATATCTGCATTACGTTTTTGTATTTCCTATACCTCGCATAGCTCCTATACATGCGTGAGCTTTTATATTTCCTATACCTCTCTGACCTTGTATACCTTCATTACCTTTATTACCTCATATACTTCCCATATTTCCTATACTTCTCGTACATTATAGGCCTCCATTAACTTCTATACCTCTATTACCTCATATATCTTCATTACCTTACATATATCATCTACCTAGTTTACCTGCTATACCTTCATTACTCTCTATATCTTGCCTTGTGGGAACTCTAGGAATGTGATAGAAATTCAAAAAACCGTCTAATTTTTTCAATATATATATATATCTTTCAAATTAAAAGAAATGAACTATGTAGAGAAAAATCCCATTGACAAGTATTTTAAATCCTTGTTTGTAGAATATCTTTCGAAAACATCATGATATATCTCTACAAATTTTATCATAGTCTTTTTTTCCACAATCCCAATATGTCATAAAAATTTCATACGATTCAAATTTATCTGACCTAAGATCGATTTTCGAAAAAAAAAGGTTCAGATATTTAAATCGATTACTGAGATTCAAGATTGACACATACATATTTATGAATATTCTCCGCATCTAAAAAAAAAACCATTCGAAAGAAAAAATATTAGCGTTACCCTTTGAAGAAATAAATCATTTCACACATAATCAAGAGAATATAAACAAGTGAACATTTACTAGACATAATCATA